TCAGTACACACTCTCTCAATTTGGAGCTGTTTTTGTGCAGTTTGGTGACGTTTTTGGAGCTGTATGTGCAGCAGTTTGGTGACGTTTTGGGAGCTGTTTTTTTTTTTTGGGTGTTCTAGTGCTGCAATTCGATCAAAGTTTGATAGCTGTTAATTTTTGTTGTAGTTTAAGTTATTTTCTGCACAATAATTGTTGAAAACAGAGCACTATAGTTCAATTTAGTTGCTGATTTTTGAATTTTTCTGCAATTTTATGCAATTTCATTGATGTAATGACCGATTATTAACATGAAAATAGAATCGTATTTTTGCTCACAATATTTTCTCAATTGTGTTCACTACTTTGCATTTTGCTTTAACTCGCATGAAATAACGACCAACGACTTAATTGCAATAAGACAATAAAGAAAAGAATTGAGAAAAAAAGTGAGAAAATAGTGAGATAATGGACAAAAGAAATGACGAAAAAGAAAGTCAATACAGATTGACTTAACAGATTAACGGTGTTAACTAACAGTTTTTTTAAAAAGTGGATGAAAACCAAACTTGACAAAAGGATGGATAGTTAAAGGACCATATCCGTCAACTGTATAGTTAAAGGACAATTTTAGACCTACTAGGATAGTTTAGGGACCATTTATGTCATTTGCGCTCAGCTAAACAACAATAGAAGTAGAGCTGTCAATATGGTCCACCCATCAGGCCTAACCCATACATGCTTTGAAATTTGATGGGCCAGATCAGGCTAGCCCATTTTTAGGGTGGGCCAAAAAATGGTTGGTCCAACTCATAAGTACGTGGGCTACAGGCTTTGCCGGGCCAATCCTTTTTTTAAAAAGTATATTTTTTATAATTTTTAAAATTAAATTATAATTTATAAATATTATCATAAAAATCGACAAGACAATATTACATAATATTATTGTTACTACTTGTTGGTCAAATCCACAAACAAAATTATCTTTATAATATTTATTACGTTTGATTTCAAGTAAAAACATAAATAGCTAAATAGAAATATTAATTGAATTATTTTTCAATTATCATAATAAAACACAAAAAAATTACAATATTCTGTAGGCTACGACCTTTGTAGTGATTCCTTGGAATTTTTAGGGAATTTTTACTTTATGTAGTACATAAATTATAAACATAATTTGTATTTAAATTGTAATATTTCAAACTTTAAACAAATTTTGAGTTTAGACTCTTGTTATTTTTAATACCCTATTTTATTTTTATTTTTTAATTAATTTTTATTTGGCCCACGGGCCAGCCCTATCCATATTTCTCAAGTCCCACAAATCGGTAAGCTTATTCAGGTCGGGCTAAAAAGCCCTTTTAATAAATGGGCTCCAAAAATCGTAGCCCAAGCCTATCAAATCACGGGTTAGGTCAGGCCGGCCCAACGGGCCTAGCCCATATTGACGGCTCTAAATAGAAGGCACCAAAAGACAAATATACCCTTCTAAAGAAGCACTTGGTCATCATGTGTGCTTCTTCATAGGACTATATTCGTCTTTTCATGCTTTTTTGTTGTTCATACAAGTATTTTTTTATAGGCGGCTGTTTCGTGGCTTCTTCAGACGTACATAGATGTCCTAATTAAGCAGTAAATACACACCTCTGAAGAAACACACATGACGACCAAGAGGTAGCGATTGTTGGCTGTCATGTGTCTTTCTTCATAGGGTATACTATTTTTTTCCTGCCTTCTTGTTGTTCACACAAGTGTTTCTTCATAGGCAGTTCTTTATGGCTTCTTCAGACGTACACAACTATCCTAGTTAAGCAATAAATACACGCCTAGAAACAGAACAACATTTTACATAGGTTTAATCAAATTTATTTGACGTTGCTTTTCTCCTACGTACTCCGATATGTATTACTCCCAACGTTAAAACTTAAGGGGTCGTTTGGTAGAGTGTATAAGAATAATGTTGAATATGATGTATTAGTAATGCATGCATTAGTAATGCAAGCATTAGTAATGCTTGCATTAGTTATGCTTGCATTATTTCTTATACATTGTTTGGTTTGATGTATTGGAAATAGCAAGCCTTGTATAAAAACTATTAAAAAAATATTTGTTTACAAAAATACCCCCACATTCTTTTACAATAATAATAATAATAATAATTATTATTATTATTATTATTAGAGGGTAGTTTTGTCATTAGTTAATCTAATGCATGCATTAAAGCCATTGCATTGCTAATACCTAGAAATCCATGGTATTAGCAATACACACCTTAATAAACAATAGAGTGTATAACTAATGCAAGCATTAGTTATACATAGGTTGGAAAAGAGTACCAAACAAGGTACTAGTAATACACAATGTTAATGCATGCGTTATTTTTTCTAATACACTCTACCAAACGACCCCTAAAAGTAATAATAAGTACTAAGTATATATATAATATGTAAGTATGTATAAGTGTCGATAATTTAGCCAAAAAATTAAATAATGATCTTTTGTAATTTTCTTCTTTTTTACTTTTCGTCATTTTGTCCATCAAAATCTTCAAACATAGAATAGAATTTATCAATTTGCTTTCACTAAAATTTGAAAGGAAAAAAAAAAGTGATTTAACTTATTTGATTGATCACTAAATTACACTTTTAAATGCTAGAATGGTTCTCCTTCTTTATAAACATTTAATGGATAATATTATTGCATGTGCCATTTTGCATATTTAATTTGTGACTCATGTGATTTACGAATTAACTATATAAACTACTAATATATCATTATACTTTGAAGAATAATGCAAAGATTATAATGTGATAAATTGATGGCAAATTGAAGCTACCATACTTTTCCTTTGCTTTCTCATTTTTCTGTGGAGAACTGGAGATGATTAACAATAATTGCATTTCAGTTTAATCTCATTGTAGACACTTAAATTGTATTGGATCAAATTCATATAAAATTTGAATTAAATTCATGTTTATTTTGGGCTAAATGATTAATTTGGGCTTTACAAATAAATAAGTTCATCTTATTAAATTCAAATCAAAGGTTCATTTCACCTTGAAGCCCAAAACTCATGTCATGTGTCATAGTGACTAGGCATCCAAGACCAACAGGGTGACACCACGTGTCCAAATGAGGTGGTAGTCCAAGTCAAATGCAAGAACCAATCACAATGTGTCAAGTGTCAAAATGACATCCTTTGGCCAATCATATGCAACCTTGTCCACCCCCTATAACTATAAATAGGGGATGGACATGACATTCTAAGGGGATCAAGAAAACTCTTCAACAAGCGTTTTTCAATTGGAGAAAACTAAATCGACTACATAGCTCTTCGAAGGAGTGATCAACGGAGTTCTTCCCAGAGATCGACTTGAAACGATGAAGTGCTTTCCAACGTTCCTGGAAATCAACAACATCTCAAGGAGGTCTACATCATCCAACAATTCAAGAAATACGCTACTGAAGGCCCTCGAATCTTGGAGAAGCTTAGGAGAGAGAATCAAGAACAACAAAATTGTACTCGCAACGATTCATCAATAAAAATTACATTTTTTCTTTTATTTATTTTGCTTGCAGTCAATTTTCAGCGCCTTACGGAAATTTGTTGCGAACACTCATAAAATAAATTTGAGAAGAATAATGTGTAAGCAAATTTACTCCTACCTTATGAAGGTAGAGAGATTATTCTACTAAATTTCGATTCAAATAAAATATTTTAAAATAAAAATGAAAAAGAAATGTAGTATATAAAAAATCATAATATCAAAGAATGGTCCATTTGAATAATTGAATATAATTATGCAGGATGTGATATTTAAAAATTTTAAAAAATCATATTTATTAGTAACTAAATTAAATTTTGAGTCATCATAACATCAAGGACTTCATTAAACATGGGAGATGGACACATTAAATTCAATCATCTTTCTAGCATTTATTGCTATTAAAATTAAGAATCGGTTTAGATTCACGCTGACTAATCGACTACAAGAGTCATATATCTTGTCTGGAGTTAGATAGAGAAATATCAGCAAAGAAAGAGGGACTTACCTATGACATTCATTGACTTTGAAAAGGCTTACACCAAAGTCTCAACGGAAGCCATATGAAATGCATGAAGTCTAGAGGTGTACATGTCGCTTACATATAAGGGAGATAAATGGGAGGAGACTCAAAGCACTTCATAGTTGATATAGGGTTGCACAAGGGATCAATTCTTTGCCCATTCTTGTTTGTCATGGTGATGGACGATTGACGTTGCATATTTAAGATGAGATCTCTCAATGCATTTTGTTTGCAGATGACAAAATACTAATTGATGAGACATATAGATGAATTAGTGCTAGGCTAGAGGTGTGTAGAAAAACTCTGGAGTCTAAAAGGTTCAGGTGGAGTAGGGACCAAATCACTTGAAGTGCAAATTTAGTGATGCAATGAATGAGAAAGGCATGGATGTGACACTTGAACACACAACTTATTCCTAAGAAAGATATTTCAAGTATCTAATGTCTGTAATTCAGGAAAATGGAGACATCGACAATGATATCGCACATCGTATTAGTGCAACATGGACAAAGTAAAAGTTTGCCTCCTGAATCTTATGTATACCTAAGAACTAAGAAGTATGGAGGTTTGAATATTAAGAATTGCAAACTCTGAAACATAGTTGTTGTTGTGAAGCTCTTATGGCAATTGGCAAGTAAGAAAAATGTATTGTGGTTAAATTGGATACATGATATCCATATGAAGAATACTAAGCAAATATCACCTCAAGTCTAGTTGATATTTGAAGAAATGATGATCCATGCAAATTTATTATCTCTTCCCAACAACCCCACCACCCCAACTCAACCTTACAAACTCCCGAACCACCACTCCCCACCCCATCCCACTCACATAGTGTATCTTGGGATAATATTTTTTTCCTTACTTACCAAACAATAGAAAATAAATAAAAAAAACCCACTTATCTTCTAACAGAACATTTTCTAAAAAAATTATTTCCATGGAAAGCATTTTCTTTCATTCCAAACACACACAATGATACGTATTCTTGCATACTTAACTAGAAGGCTCGAAATCGCACGAATCTGAATTTAGATACCGAGTGAAAAAACTAAATAGACAGGCTTAATAAAGGTTCAATAATAGTCTTAATCTCCCAATAATAATCTTCATAACAATTCACATAATGCACTACATAAATAAGTATGAGTGCAGAAATGCATTCCCAAGTATGCGCCTTAAATACTCCATCAAATTCCACGCCCAATGAGTACAGAAATGCATTCCTAAAAATGCACCCATAATTTAAGTCCCACTTGTATGAATCCAGTTCACGGCATATGATCAAATCCTCCAGCTTGTAGAGCAACCCGATTCCCATTAACGTTAAGGAGCAATTGTTGCAGCCACCTTCTCATTATTGGATCCTCCTGATAACATAATGCAACAAAACCAGTCATGGTCAGAAAAAATAACAAGGGTCTGATGCCGAGAAAAGAATAATTCCTGATTCAGGAGGGAGAGGGGGAGCTACTTATATTGCCAAATATTACGTACACGAAGACAACTGCTGAAGGTGTCATCTCTAAGCATATCAGGAAGACAAATTTTCAGTGCCTGACAAGCCCTGCCATAAGCCATACGCATTGCCTTTAGCCTCACAGAAACAGAAAGATAAAGATAAAAAAGGGCTGTGATATATCACACATAAGCAAGCTGAAAGGAAAACCAGGATGGTGATAAACAGAAAACTAACCTTGGCTCATCTGATAAACGAAGATAGCACCTGATTATGTGTTTCAGCAATCTTGATGAAGGCTGCTCAACAAGTGCACCAACCATATTCCCTAAAACTTGAGCTAATTCAAAAAACCTATCCGATGTGGTACAGATGTAATTCAGACCCACATCATCTAGAAGGATTTTTTCCACAATGAAAGTTGCAACCTGTCAATATGAATAAATTAGATGCATGAAAATCTAATCAAGTCAAGGGAGGATGTAATTGGAAAATGGTTTTGGGGAAGCAAAAAACTGTTTTTGATAGTTCACTCCCCATCTCCATCGTGCACAAGCACCGAGGAACTATCTCTGTCGAAACAAGAAAACTGATAACTTCAGTGTTGTCTACCTGCGCAGAAAAAAACAAAAGGAACAAAGTGCATTTAGGCTTTAGAATAACAATTGATTAAGATAGGTTATGAATAGCATTACTAGCATCAATAACTAATCAGTTTCCTTCTCATGTCATTCCCAGTAGATATGATCATGAATGAAAATCTTTATACTAACAATGAAAGTAGAAGACGCATGACATACAGTAGACATGTTACCTTCACAAGGGCACCAATAACACCTAAGCTTGTAAGCCTCAAATATTCAAATGGTGTTGACTTGCTTGTTGTATTAAGAAAGGGGTACAGATACAAAGGAATATATGCTGAAAAGTAGAAAACTGTCAGGGAAACCAAATATCACAATTACAGTTATCATCACACAAAAGTCTATCCAGATCTCGAGAACACATCATTGATTATTGAGTCCATTTATTTGTTTCTTTTTTTATTAAAGATGTACTTAAAAGTTTTTGAAGGTTACAAAGCATTTTACATGAATAATATGGGGCTGGGGTATTTATCTAAGACAAGATTCTTGTGTTGCACAAGCCAGTGCTTCAATGAACCTAAGGCCACAAACTTGTAATCTTCGTTTCTTACCTCTTTATGGACATTAGTGACTACCAAGGACGAACGGTCATATTATTACTTGACAGTTGTGCATTCAAAGGAAATATAACCCAAGTATAATTTTATTTTTTCTACAAGTAGTGGATAAGATGAATCAAAGTATAATGTCTTCATATGTAAATCAAATTTCATTTCTCCTCCAAAGATTTATCAAACGAATGCAGGGTGACATTAATTTGATACTATTTGGATCTTATTCTTGACTTGTATCTGTGGAATTCTTTTTGACAAGTAAATAAGAGTTTAATTTAAGTGAAAATATGATACTAAGCAAGTGCTTGGGGAATAAAACTTAAGCGGTGTAACTATGAGGAGTGTTGAGATTTTTGTGTCTGTTTCATTGTTATGGAAAAGAATTTCCATCCACAAGCAACTGCAAATCAACATAAACAACATTTTTTTTGCTTTAAATGGCATTCCACAAAAAAGTAGAGTCAGAAAACGACTAAAAAAGGGCAAGCTTATTGTCACTGCCAAACAGATAAGAGAACTTTTAAAAAAAGGAAGAGAATCTTCACCATTGAGTAACAACAATCTGGTGTCAGGGTGAGAGGCTACACACTGCAAAATAGAAAGCAATGGAAAACTATTTAAATAGGAAGGACAAAAGATTTGACCTCGACCAGCAAAAGAACTAAACAAACAAAGGCAGAGTGGGAATACAATTACATCTTAAAGCACTTATACTATGATAACATCAGACATTTGGAAGTAATACTTGTCATGCTCCAAGAAAGAAATGAAACTTAAAACTATTTCAGTACGAACAAGTTTTTTTCTTTTACAAGGAAAAAAAATATAGAAATTTCAACACCTTCTAGTCTGTTGCATTCACCATCCACCTCTCTTGATACATATAACACAACCCCAAACATATCCAGTTTTCTATACCTCTCTTGACAATAACTCATTACTTTAAGATCACCAACAAGAATGAATAATAGAAGAAGTATCAAGAATCACGAGTCACTGAGAAAAAGTCCACAAGGAAAATAATTTAATATACCTGAAGAAGTGCTAGTACATTACAAACTCTATTGGATTGTGCAAGAGTCAGGTTTGGCGGTGACAAAACAGGGTAGATAGAAACTATCTCCTGCAAATGTACAAATCAACGTTTACAAACTTATAGAAACAGCTAGGCGACTTCCACACATTAGAAATAAGAATCAAATAGTTGGACAGAAAATGTCTACAATAGACGTTCAAGAAATATGAATGAAATATTTGAGAGGATAGAAGTCCAGAATCTCATCATATCACAGAAAGAGTTACTTTAACTGAATCAGTGTTATTGGTTTTGATAAAGCATACAACCACCTATATATAGTAGCTTTTGTTTACCATCTAAGTTGGCCCAAGGCACAAAAAGAGTTAATTTGAGATTAGATTTAAATGGCAGAATAGTTTCTCCTCCGAGTGGTGATATTTTTTCTTTCTTTTTTTTTTTGCGGGGGGGTGGGGGGGTGGGTAAATGGTGCAGTGTGAAGCATGGGTAATAAGTAATCACTGAAGAAATGTGTGTATGAACAGACAGAAGAAATGCTAGAATTACAGTGTGGAGTGGTACTTTAGCATTCATGTGCATATGAGAAACGAATAAACTCTAAATACTAATGAAACACTTCTCAAAATACCTGTAGAAATACAGAGATAGTACCAAACGAGTGCCATAATAAGGGGGGCAAATCCTGGAAAAGTTCCCTCTTCTGGAAAAGGAAAACAAAGACAACAAGTGTTTTTAGGTAAATCTTAAGAGTATTTGGCAGAACAACAAATGATACTCAACCCAAAACGCCAAATTAGTTGGTGTTCCACATATACTAATACACACAAATATGAGGACATTGTTGAAGAGGGGTCAGCAACAAAATAGGAGTATTAAGGCAGACATCAATTGTGCAACAATTTCTCAAAAAGAAGAAATTATAATTATGCAGCCAGAGGGAGACGCCGGAGTTAAAAAGTCTCATTAGTCCAATTTTATCAATTAGAATATCACTGTTGCTCTAGATAATCAGTTATGCAACCTTAGGTAGAACACTGGAGTTGAAAACCAGTTGTCTGTTAGGTTTCATTAACACATAGCAGTAGAAAAGAAAGAATATTGTTTGTATAAGCATGTGTGTGTCACTATTTCGCTAGAAGAGGGCTGGTAGAAGTAAGATGGCATTCACAGTTTATTAACTATACATCATTCATAAAGTTTTCTACTTGCTAATTGTGAAGCTATAATTACGACATTGAGATTGTTCTTTTTTTCTTTTTTTCTTTTTTTTCTGTCCAAGAATTGAAGCTTCTTCATAATGAAACAGTATCAATCCCAGATGAGATAACATGAAATATTCAGATTATAATAGGTACATGGAACTGAATCTCTTTTTTCTCCTACTATTCTCAAAAAGCATCTGAAAGGTAAATCCGACAGTAGACAACATCATTTTCCATCTCAATTTTCGGTTAATCTAATTACAATTCAACTCTCTCAAGTGACAAGCATTTAATAGTCATCAAAACCCTCAATTTTACAGAACTTCACCGTGATCAAGAATTGAAATTTATCCCCAATGATTCGATATAAAGCATAAAACAATACGAAAATAAACGAAGATGAATAAACCTTGGAAAGTTCTAGAAGAGCATTTTCACGAAGATTAGGGTTGGAGAGATCAAGCACAAGTTGTTCAACAGATTGCATTTTGCGATCCTTATTGACCGGTGCTCCGGCACTAGAAGACGATGATGACATACCACCTCTTCCTCTGAAACTGCTGACACCGACTGAGAGAGACTGAGGTAAGTTTGCCATTCTAAAGCCTTAATCGAATGCTTTTATCTTTTTCTTCCTTTCGCTTTACCTACTTTATTTTCTCTCCTTTTTCTTCTGTTCCCAAACTGTACAAAGACAAAATTCACGGTTTGATTACTTTGACAAAGAAAATTTATTGTTTTATCTAAAACATCGACACCATCAATGAACAAAACCTACCATTCACGTGCTTGTGCACGCTAGGAGCATTTCATAGTAATTTTCAAGATTGATTTGGTCTTTAGTTTTTTTGGAATAAAACCTAATGAAAAATAAATAATAGTTTTTGTATCATTTATCTATTAATAGTGATTAGATTTGATCTTCGATCTATCCTAAGAAACTATATATTTTGACAATGGAATTTATTGATAATCAATGAAGAGGATCATTAATAAAATGTATAAGTCATTTTCTGATGTAATTGAAGACAAAAAGGGAAGATTTGTGAGATTGTGTTGAATGGTATATTCTTCGTTTTTTTGAGATTGACTTGGAGTTTAATTTCTTCGGCATCAAATCTAATTAAAATGATAGTTTTTGAAACTGAAATCTTGAAGGGGAATCCGAGTAAATCATCATCTGCAAAAAAAAAAATGATAGTCTTTCCAATTGTTTTCCATTAACCAGATATGATTTGATATAATCAGTGATAGAGTTTAGATTTAAGGAGAGGAGGTACAAAACTTACTTATGGTTGTACGCATTAAGCTTCAGTATTACCGATTTCAATGTCCTGAGGATGAGATTCAAGCCCGTGCAAGTGTTCCTCCACTTGTGCGTTTTCAGAATACTAAGTGCACAAAGATGATTGAACTTGCTTTATGTCGATTTTCAATTCTTTTTTTTGGAATCTTGAGCTAGCTTAATGGAGCACCGATGGTAGAGATGCAATTTGGAAACGGTGTGGAGATGGAGACTTCCAGCGGACTCTACAAGGATTGAGAGCCCTTTCCTCTGTCCACTTCCCTAATTAGACCTTTAGCATAGTTGTTTGTTTTTTTTTCTTTCTTTCGCTTGTTTTATTAGTGTATTTAGCACTTTGAGCTAAGTCATTATTTTTGTACAGATCTTATTTTAGTTTATGAAATGGGCCCAGTTGGGTCGTTTAACTATATATATATATATATATATAAAATCAATGAGGGTGATCATAATAAAATTTACTAGTCATTTTCTAATGTAATTTGTGCATATCATCATATCAGTGATATCCCCACCTATGCTTGGACTCATGCACCTTAAAACAATTTGCTCAGAATGCTCTCGTCACATTTCTCAAGGGTATCTCACATGTTTCTCAATGTTCTTTTCAGAGTAAAAGTTGAAAACATTTTTCCTACTTTAGATCAATGTACTTATAGACATGGAACATAGATATATAGGTATTAATCAACTAAGTCGTAAGATATGGAATGATCATGTCTTACTTGTGCACTTAATAGGTCATGAATCCCTATGTTGCTCGGATCATCCAAAAATATTGTCGCACCCATGTCGGATCCTCCAAAAATGCTCTACTTTTGAAGTATTTGCCATGCACTCAGTCAAAATATTTTTGAAGAGTCGGAGAAACATTCCTGCACATATAGTGTTATGAGTCCCAAATTGATTGTGGGAAAAAAAATTAGTCTCTTATATGGTATTAGGAAATCCTCACCTTATGACCTACCTTTGGGGTTGCTCTAGGCCCAAGGTTCATTTTTTCTATATGGTATTTGTTAAAGAATGAAAAAGTCATACATCGGTGGTTAATGAGATTATTGCACGAAATATGATTATTGCATGAATCAAGAGAGAACCTGAGTAAGATATATTTCCAAGTTGAAACGAACCCTGCTACCTGCTTCATCCTGGAATTGGAATGTGGAACTATGTATAAATCAACTGAACTTTGATTCCTGCAAACTTCGGATAGTTGCTAAAGCTGCAGAATTCTCTGCATCTTTTACTCCTGACTTTTCATCCCCCATCACAAAAAGCATGCCTTCAGCAATTATAATTTGCACAGAGCATATAAACCTCCTATCATGAGCAGGACCTATCTCTTTCTCTACTCTGCAAACATCAGAAAGCAAACAATAACGGAACCAAATTCATACATTTAATGTGACTGCAACAGAAACAGAAAAAAATTGGCAGCAGCTGGACATTGAGACAAACAAATCCAGAAAGAATTACCATAAAAAAATCTATCTCAAACAGAACACATGCATTAACCATGTTGCTAGTCCAGAACAACCATTTTATATGGAGTGCTCTCAAGAGAAAATAAAATCTTAAAATATGAAACCTCAAACGTCAGACATTTCAAAATATTTTTAAAACATAATACTTAAATAAGTTCATTTTACTGTTGTCTGTTCAAAGAGTATTAGTCAGCAATGTATGTTAGTATGTCGATGAATGATATAGTTCTAATTTTGTCTTTGTACTCCCATATAATTATATAATCCTATATAATTCCGTGCAGTCAAACCTTAAAGCTACTACTGAGTAGAGAAACATTGGTAGTTTCACTGCTCAGTATTGAATCAATGTTTGATCATATGGCAACAATTTCTTGCGCTACTTTCCTTTATGGATTGACAAGGAGATATACAGCCAGGATTAAGAACAAAATACTAGGATTCCCTGATACAACATGTTAAGCATGTTAGACTTGATAACACAATTTGTGCTTGCAGCTATAGATTGAGTACAAGCGAAAAAAGTAACAACTTTATCCACCAAACAGATATCTGACAAAAATGGCACTTAGTCACTCATGAGAACAACTACACTCAAAAGAAAAAGACTAACCTGTAAGTTGGTTTGGGCCATTTCTCTCTCTGGCAAAGCCCGTTCAGCTTCTGCTTTGCTCCTTCACACTCTTTTGTTGGGTCAAATTCAACATCCATCTTTTTTTTCTGAAATGTTATAGATTCAACATCCATCTTTTTTTTCTGAAATGTTATAGATTCAACATCCCTCTTTTTTCTCTGGAATGGAACAAATTCAACATCCATCTTATCACAAGGGTTATAGAACAACTCTTTTAGAGCAGCTTTTGCCACTTGAAGCTTTGCATTTTCTTTGTGCTCAGACGAAGCTGATGCAATAAATTGTCCATCAAGATAGACGCTAGCTATGTTTTTATCTCCCTCTTTCCGATGTTCTACATCAACTTGTTTTCCATCCTTTTTGCAAAGTCCAAACAACATTGTTACAGGCCGTGGTTGTTCTTCCAACGCATTCAGCATAATAATAGGCTCTAGTAGGCCTCTGAAGATCTAAACCAAAAAAGGCAACTAGATAATCTAAACATCAGGACGTCATTTCTCTTTGTAAAACAAGAATGTCCTATTTATAGCTCAAGAAAATAATTGTATTCATAAGACATTGATGAAATCTCTGAAATAAATCAATCATTGGAGCAAAGAAAGAAATGCTACATCTGCCTACAGGTGTCTGTGTGGGCAAATTGGCTCTCATGAGCTTTCTCATTGAATCACTCACCAATTTTCTGCAATTGTAATACCTCATCATTTCTTCCATTCCAAGTTTGATTTTCAATGATACGAAACCCAAATATAAGATTCCTCTTCATGTCAGTGTTATAAAAAGCGAGGAAAAGCGCACTTAAAGCGCGAAGCGCAGCACCTGCGCTTTTATTTCCTGAAGCGAGGCGACATTGAAAAAGCGCTCGCTTCTACTGTAGAAGCGAGAAGCGCAAGAAAAGCGAAAGCGTGAAAAAGCGTGCTTAATTTGAAAAAGCGCTAATTAGGGTTTTTTTTAAAAAAATTGTAAGGTTTTTTTTTTATTTTATTTCTGAAATCCTTACGCGACTTCACATACCTCTTTCACGACTTCAAATTTATTTTTTGGACTGCTGTGAGGCTGCGACTGCTGCTGTAAGTTCTCTTCTTCTTTGAGACTGCTCTGCGACGTTTTTTTCTATTTTTGGTTGCTGCCAGGCCACTGCTGTAAGTTCTCTTCTTCTCTTCTTCTTCTCTGCGAGGCTGCTGCGACTGATCTGCTACTGTTTGTTTTGTTTTTTTTTTTTGGTTGCTGCTGTGTGTTTTTCTGTATTTTTATTGCTGCATTTTTTGTGATTTAATTATGTTTTTGCTATATATGTTATGACTTATGAGGATTATTGACTATCTATTTACTTTTAATCTAAGAATATATTACCTCTATTCAGTTATTTAATATTTTTTTATTTTTATACTAAATATCGCTTTACTTAAAAAAACCGCGCGCTTCGCTTCTCGCTTCTGTGAAGTGAGCCCTCGTCGCTTTTTTCCGCTTCTCGCTTCCCAAAACACTGCTTCATGTAAAAGAAATTCAAATTTTTAATTGTAACCTTCTATCTCTCTCTCTCACACACAGAGAGCCTTTTTCTATAAGGGTAATATTATAAAAGGATTGTGGAAGCACTAACCTAGTGTGTCAAAATTAAAATTGTTCAAATCCCTAATCATGTCCAGCATGAAATCTATTACATAGATCAAATTGCGCCGAAAAAGCTAGCAAAAGTCACATGTGCTTAAAAGTGACATTCCTAGGACAAGCACACAATTTAATTGCAAGAAGAGTTTCAGTAAAATACCAAAAAGAATCACAATTGAATTTTTTGTTTTAGGAATACATGTTAATCATTTCTTTCATCAATTGGAGAATAACACATTAAAAACATTCCTAGAGGAAAAAAGTTTTGCCTCTGAAAATTAACAAGCATACATAATGACTACTCAGACATCACTTGGCTTGCAGCAAAAGTCACCAAAAGTCCAAAACATTAAACAGGGGTACAGCTTGAGTCAGTTTTATGAGTTTACAAGGATAACTAGCTTTACAGTTTACATGAAAACAGGTTCAATAAATAACAGTTAAAACCCTTTGTTTACTAACACTGAGGCTGTCAATTATAAGCACTTACTAATAGCCAATAAGCCTGCGAGACTCAACTCTTTGATTCCACATTTTCAAGTTATAATAAAAATCCAGAGGAACAAATATAGAGAATCCGTATAGCCAACCTAACTAGTTGGGATTAAGGCGTAGTTGATAGATACATTGGTACTCTAAATCCAGAAAGGATAAAGAAAAGAGAGTTTCCATAAGATCCTTGGCCATTACAAACTTAAATAGTAAAAAAGAAACTGACCACCCAGACAGCATTCACATCAAAGCCACAATCCAAATATACAGCCCCCATTACCGACTCCACAATGTCTGCAAGAACCTTTGGTGCTTTTATCATTCCTCCATAGAACTCCATCTCCTCCTCCTGTTGCACTGTTATCACAAATTCCTTCACTTACGTGCAAAATCAAAGTCTCCTCTATTACAATTCCACAAAGGAACTATTGTAATCAGTTCGATGATCTTGTGCCAATAAAATGCGCAATGATACAATGTTACCAATGGCGTGCCATATGCAATGGCTAACTAGAATCTTCACTACATGAAACAAATACGGCCTTAGAAGTTTAAAGACTTACAGAAGGAAACAAAACAGACATACATATTGGATAAGATGTAACTGCCGAACTAGACTAGCCAAACCAAAGGACTTTTTAGATTAATACATTTCGTAATTTTTGGGGAACTTGCTTATATGAGCAATCCATATAGTAATTGGGAGGAGTTCACCCGAGTTCATATTTTCTACTTTGTCTACTTTTACAAAGCTAGGTACTCTCTATCGTGGAGGAGTCCTCCACAACTTAGATGATCAAACTGTACTTTGAGCATCCATCTAGGTATATATACATTTTTAAAGACCTTAAAGAGTAAAAGGGATGGCATGTCTACCCTTCTTTTTATGATCTCAAAAGGTAAAATTGTCATTTCCCTTCCTTCATGTATTTAATATTTGAAGGAAAAACACACAAATTTCCCTCCCAAACTTATCCAGAAAAGCCTATTACACACTTTGACTTTACAGGCATTCCTTTACACCCTATTCTCGAGGGGTCATTTATGTTTTTACCCAATTTTTTAACATTAACATACGAGGCAGAGGTCAATATGTGACCAGTGGCATCACTAAGTGGATTTGTCTTAATTTTTATTAAATGTTTACTTGTGTACACTCTCTATTAGATGCTTAATAGATACCTCTTTGTTTGATAGTTACTCCGTCCGCCTCGGAAAACTTAATAGATACCTCTATTGTTAAATAACCAATATGCACTTTGACCAACATTTTGAAGAAATGCAACTTATAGTATTTTATGTTTATCTTATGAACATCTAAATTTCAATTTTAAAATAATAAATAAATGCAATCCAATTTAGCTCCGAAGATTAGTCAAATTGGCTTTAGTAAATCCAAAAGCCACAACTATTTTTGAACAGAACGAGAAACTACAACAAAACTTAAACTACACAACAATGTGAAGTAATGCATATAAGTTAAATACTACTATATACCTTTTCATCGAGGATTGCCGAATCGCAGCGGAGGTACTTGTAGAGGCCGTGCCGGACGGCAACTCTAGCAAGCTTTTCCGTACTTACATTGGCAGAACGAAGGTCAGTGAGCTTACCACAGTCAACATCAGGGTAAGTCATGAAGAAATAACTGGAAATAGCTAACCCAAGAGCGGCATCGCCGACGAATGCTAGCCGCTGGTAATTAGTAATTAAATTAGGACAGGAAGAGTGAGTAAGAGCTTCTTCTAGAAGTTTCGTATTCTTAAATCGATATTTCAATAGCTCTTCCACTGCCTGTACTGATGTCGCCGTGTTCGTAATTTCTTCCTCCGGCGGCGGCTACCTATTTGCGTCGGTCACCATCGCGCAAACTTCCGGCGGTTGCATGTGTTCTGAATGTTAAAATCCGGTGGGGTGCGCGCGCGAAAACGGTACTTTTCCCGGGCGAAGAAAACTGAGTTGTATCAGAGAAGTGCAAATGCCTGATTGAATTGCTACGTTCCAGAATTTAGGCTTTACTATGGAAATTTAGAAGTTGTAGAAAGCCTTCCAACTTTTCTTTTAAAAAAAAAATAAACAATTTTTTTAAAAAGTACACATGATAAAAAAGATTTTTTTTAAAAGTTCAATTTTAGATCTACATCTAATCTAATATAAATATTTTTTTTGTTGGACGCATATTTAAATCAACCTATCGTTTAAAAAAATTGGAAGTAAATTGATAGAGCTAAATATATAGTTTATATTTTAATTCATATAGAACTAATACTCACATAATATATTTCATTTTCTGCATAAAATTATACATAAATTTACTTATAAGTTATATGAGTATTAATTATGTAGAATTATTAAAATACAACCAAATATCATATAAAATTAATATATGAATAGCTTTTATATAACATTTGAAACCTATCAATTTAATATTATATAAAATTAATACATGAATAACTTCTATTCTATTTTCAAACAAAACAATGTATAAAATTAGGTTGAATCTTATACAATAACCAAACGGATCTTTAATATGCAAGGGCTCTACTTTGCTTCTTCATATAATCTCATAAATAAAATTTAAAAAGGATAATGTATACGCAAACTTTACCCTGATCTCTAATAGCCATTCCAACTCAAATAAAGCATTTCAAAGTAAATATGAAAAAAAATACAACAAAGAAAAAAATATGACGCCAATTGCCAAGAATGATACAGTTCAATATTACTATTATGCAAGATGTGATATTAAAATAAGAAATCATCTTTAATTTGAGCACTAATGACATGAATGACTTCATTAAACAGGGGGAGTCGACTCAGTAAATGCAGTCTTTCTGGCATTTATATATCCCATTAACGGCGACTGCTTTCATATCTGCAATAAAAATATTTACTAGGAGGACTAACAAAAATTATGATGAATCGGTAAGTACTCCGGTTAGAGAGCACTTTACTCTCAATATGAGACTTTCCAACGCAAAGTCAGATTTAGTCGTTTCCCAATGACAATAGAGTACCGACACAGTAGGCAACCAAAAAAAAGGTTTGCTAAATGGTCCAATAATATTCTTAATCTTATAATAATAATCTTCATAATTATTCACATAATGGACTACAGCATAAATGCATTCTAAAGTGCTCCAACAAAAGACTAGGAAGTCTTATTTAAGTTCTATTTGTATGAAATTCAGTTCACAGCATATGATCAAATCCTCCAGCCTGTAAAGCAACCCGATTCCCATTAACGCTATGGAGCAATTGTTGCAGCCACCTCCTCGTCATTGGATCGTCCTGATAACATAACACAACAAAGGTGGTCATGGTCAGAAAAAAATAACAAGGGTCTAATGCAGGGGGAGCTACTTATATTGTCAAGTATTACGTACACGAAGACAACTCTGGAAGGTGGTATCTCCAAGTATATCGGGAAGACAACCTCTCAGTGCATCACATGCCCTGCCATAAACCAGGCACATCACCTTTAGCCTCACAGAAATGAGAAAGCCGAAGAGGACTCTGACATGTCACGCATAAGCAAGCTGAAAGGAAAACCAGGATGCTGATATACAGAAAACTAACCTTGGATTATCTGACAAACGAAGATAGCACCTAATTATGTGTTTCAGCAATCTTGATGAAGGTTGTTCAGCAAGTGTGCCGACCATATTCCCTAGAACTCGGGCTACTGCAAAAAACCTTTCCGCTGTGGTACAGATGTAATCCAGACCCACATCATCTAGAAGGATTTTTTGCACAATGAAAGTTGCAACCTGTCAGCATGAACAAAGTTAGATGCATGAAAATCTAATTAAATCGAGGAAGGACATTACTGGAAACTGGCTTTGGGGAAGGACTAACAGTTTTCGATAATTCACTCCCCATCTCCATCGTGCGCAAGCACAGCGGAATTATTTCTGTTGAAAGAAGAAAACTGATAACTTCAGTGTCATCCACCTGCACAGAGAAAATCAAAAGAAACAAAGTACCTTAAACCTTTAGAATAACAATTGAATAAGGTAGGTTAAGCATATCATACATAGCATCATTAGCTCCTGATATTATAACTAGTCATGGTTTCCTTCTCATGTCATTCCCTGTAGATATGATCATGAATGAAATGTTTACATTAACAGCAATGGAAGTAGAAGAAGAGACGCATGAAATACAGTAGACAATAACCTTCACAAGGGCACCAATGACACCTAAGCTTGTAAGTCTCAGATATTCAAAAGGTCTTGACTTGCTCGTTGTATTAAGAAAGGGGTACAGATACAAAGGAATATGTGCTGCAAAGTAGAAAACAGTCAGAAAGATTTATTCAAGGGAAACCATATATCCCAACTATGAAGGATCACAACTACAATTATCATCACACAAAATTCTATCCAGATCTCAAGAACACATCATGATTATGAAGTCCATTGATTTGGTTTTTTTTAATGAGATGTACTTTTAAGTTTTTGAAGCCTACAAAGCATTGTACATGAATAATATGGGGCTGGGATAGTTATCCAAGACAACATGCTTGTGTTACACCGACCAGCGCTTCAATGAACCTAAGACCACAAACATGTAATCTTTTTCATCCTCTTTATGGACATCAGTGACTGCCAAGGAAGGATGGTCTTTATTACTCGACAGTTGTGAATTCCGAGGAAAAGAAAACCCAAGTATAATTTTCTTTTTACTATAAGTCCTGGATAAGATAAATCCAAGTTCAATGTCTTCATATGTAAATCAAATTCGAATTCTGCCCCAAAGATTTATCAAACGAATGCAAAGTCACATTAATGTGATACTATTTGGATCTTACTGTTTGACTTGTGTGTGTGGAATTCCCTTTGACAAGTAAATAAGAGTTATATCTATTTTATATTAAAAACATAAAACCCCTAACTTGAAAGTTCAATTCAAAAATATCCTTATTACTATCTTATCTTTTTTTTAAATAAAAAACTACAAATACACACAACAGACACCTCTTTGAAGAGACCCCTTCCATGTTCCTCTAGCCAACTACTTATAGAAGAAAAAAAACCATTAAATCATATGAATGATGCGTTAAAAACCAAATGGCTACAAACAAACCCCAAGCCAAGTACTAATCTGCTTTCTACACTTTTTCTTTCTTGAAGTGTTAACTAAGTATTAAACTAAATTTCGGAATTATGGGTGATGCAGAGCAGAGCATGGCTATACAAGGAACTATGGAAAAAATATACAATGTTTGATCAATAAGAGGAGATTGAAGTGGCATGGAACCAGTAGGTCAAATTCTGCACTTTTAGTATGGAACCATGTCAAATTGTGCAACTTTATGGACTATCAATCACTAATCGATCGGCATACTAAAGACACAGAAGCACAACAACATAATCACATTATACTCCGTTTTAAGGGACGAAAACTGAATCACGTGAGTTCACAACGGAGCAGATCATACAAACAGTTACAAACTAATAAATCATGAAGAGCTCGGTTGCCGAATAAATTCGGGTGCAAAATCTAAACACTACTTGCGTTGTATGCTTCATTGGAGCAAAGAGTTCTTTATCAGAAATATTTTAAACAAGTCTCCCATAATAATTCTATTTCTGTTTCCGTTCAATGTCATCAAAACTTTACCTCTTCTAAAGTTGAAATTGTAAAGCAAACACAACCATAACTTGTAAGGAAATATTATCCCAAGAGCATTTATATGCTATGAAGGAAAATGTTTTCCACGAAAAGTGATATCCTAGAAAATGTCTTATTGGAAAATAAGTGGGTTTCAAACCAAACACAACCATTACTAGTTTTAGTTTTCTCTAGAGCTTTCATATGCTGAACCGTGGTTTTTGAATTTATTTTATGAATAGGAACATACATCACAAATATCATTTATAAAAAAAAGTATTAGATAAGATATGCTTTATTACATTTTTGTACTCATAAAAGCAAAATAAGTAAAAAATAATATGCATCTGATAAAAAAATTATTCTTCATCATTGAAGATTCAGATGAAACAATTAATCATTGAGCTTGAAAAACAAGTCATGATACAGCGATCCATATTGATCGTTCAATAAAACTTGTACTTTATTCTTTCATAAATAAATATTTAGTCAAAAAATGCTTTTAATGGTGTTGAAATTATTTTACAAATGGCTATTATATGAATGGGTATATTTACACTCGAGAAGCTAGTTAAGTGAAAAAGCACTGAGCAAGTGCCTAAGGTATAAGAGATGTAACTATGAGGAGAGTTGAGATTTTTGGGTCTGTGTAGTTGCTATGGAAAGAATTTGCACCCAAAAGCAACTGCAAATAAACATAGGCAACAATATTCTAGCTTTCCAACGGCATTCCACCTAAAAGTACAGTCATTGTATATCAAAAAGGCCAAGCTTATTGCCATTAACAAACAGATAAGAGAACTTCAAAAAAAGGAAGAGAATCTTTACCATTGAGGAACAACATTCTGGTGTCAGGATGAGAGGCTACGCACTGCAAAATAGAAAGCAATCAGAAACTATTTCAATAGGAAAGATAGAAGATTTGACCTTGACCAGCAAGAAAACTAAATAAGAGAGGCATAGTGGGAAACTGGGAATACAATTACATCTTAAAACACTTGGCACTATGATAACAACAGATATTTGGAAGTGATACTTCCATGCTCCAAGAAAGAAATAAACTCAAAACTACTTCACTACTAACAGGTATTTTTTTACAAGGAAAAAAATTAAAAATTTGAACACCTCTCAGTCTGTTGTGTTCACCCTCCACCTTTCTTAATACATATTAACACAACCCCAAGCATATCCAATTCTCTACACCTACTGCCGAAATTTCATCGTTATAAAGATCATATAATGATAATAACTCATTACTTTAAATATTAACAGCAAGAAAAAACAATAGAAACAGTATCAAGAATCAGAGAGAAAAAGTCCACAAGGAAAGGAAGTTTATATACCTGAAGAAGTGCTAGTGCATTACAAACTCTATTGGATAGTGCAGGAGTCAGAGTTGGAGGCGACAAAACAGGGTAGATAGAAATTATCTCCTGCAAACATGCAAATTAACGTTTACAAACTTATAGAAACAGCTAGTGACTTCCACACTATATAAATAAGAATCAAATAGCTGGCCAGAAAATATCAACAATAGAAGGTCAAGAAATACAAATTAAATAGTTGAGAACAGAAGTCCAAAATCTTATCAGTAGAATGAGTAACTGAACCAATAATATTGCTTCTGATACAGCATCCAACCACTTACATAGAGTAGGTTTTGTTTACCATCCAGGTTGGGTCAAGTTACAAAAGCAATTAAACTGAGATTAGATTAAATGACAATAATTTCTCCTCCTAGTAGTGATATTTTCATTTTTTGGGTTAATGTCTCCTCGAAGTGGGGTTTTGGCTCCATTGGTTTCATCAACATCCAACAAATACGGAAAAGCAATTGGGATTCTATTTTGAGACTTTACATGTATATTTATTTCCAATTTTTACCTCAAATCATTTTATTCCATTTTTGTTCTAGTCAATGATAAAGCAATCCAACATATACAATGAAAATGATATACATTGTCTAGTTTCCATTATTGGAAAACCAACCTTGTTGTGAGCTGAGTACAAA